TTTAAATCAAGAAATGTTCTCAGATTCCAAGAGGACCTCTGGAAAAAATAATGATGTCGTAATACAACTCCTACTAATTAAACCATAATTGGGGAGAGAAGGGGCAGTTTCTTATATTTCCAAAGGGTATTAAAATGCGTAAATTAAAATGCCGAACCTGACTGAAATTGGAACTCGGTTCCTAAATTCCTATGCTACGACGTCCGCACATGCAACCTTTCAGAACCGTTATTTCTGTTGCTTATCATCAGTGATGGTATGAGAAGAGGTGTTCCGACTTGATATGGCAGTAAGGCTCAGTTACATAGAAATTCTTTTGTTTAAACTCGATCCAATGAGAAAAAGGAAAATCGAAAATCTGAAGTTATTTTTCACTTAAAGTTCGTAGACTTTCTTAGAAATTACTTGATAAAACTATTTTCTTCCTCGATGAAAACTTTTCTGTAAATACGGATCATACAATTAACACAGCTCCGGCCCAACTAATTTAGATTTCGAAAGTCATTTTATTAGAAAGACATTTATAAATAAGTTGCCGGCAATACTGTGTTAACCGTAAAGAAATAACATGAAAATTATACATTAAATAGGTCTTAATTTCGATAAAAGCATGTGCTATACAATATTAATTCATGAACGTGTGAGTGAATTTCCTCGAATATTAAACTTACTACAAGCGCTAAACCAGACCAAACTGGATTATTTTATTAGCGGGACATTCACGCGAAAAGAACGAGTGTAAATTCTATATGAATTATACAGCGGTTATTTCTCTCTGTCAAACAATTTGACACCTTCACTATGTTCCCGGATTGACTTGCGTTTTCGCACCAAAACATCTTCATACTGATGTGCCAATATTTTATTAATATGCATCTGAGAAGGGTGGTGGAGGAGAGCGAAGGTGAGAATGTCGCTATTATTGGGAAGTAATAGAGTCAAATGAAACCTACCGCATATGTCATTGCGCATATATCTATCTATCTATCTATCTATCTATCTATCTATCTATCTATCTATCTATCTATCTATGGGCTTAAGGCAACATCACGTTCAAACACAGGTTTCCGTACGATGGCCGAAGTTAAGCTACGTTGAACCTGGTCAGAACCTAGACAGGTGACCGCTTGGGAATAGAGCTCGAATGTGCGTGTAGTGAATTTATAATGGCTAGGAATTGCTAAACGGAGAGCCAGGTTCGAATTCCAGTCACGCACAAATAAACTTGGGTAGGGTATTCTATTCCAGGTATGAGTTGATTAGTAAGACTTGTATCCATAAATCATTATCATCACAAAAAGTAAGATTTGTACGAGTAAATAATTATTACCACAAAAAATGCACACAAATAACTGCATAAATACACTCCATACGTTTGATAAGTCGTACAAAACAACCAATCAATCAAAAACAACTTCTTTCTCTCCATATATATATATATATATATATATATATATATATATATATATATATATATATATATATATATATATATATATATATATATATATATGGGCGACTGACTGAAATAGAATAGGTCCTCGAAAAGTATGAGAAAAAACTTTTGGATGTATTTTTGTTTATGATATTTTACAGATTTTGTTCAGGTCGCGGTAGTTGTCATGAATCGAATTAAAATTATTTTTAACAATTAGAGAAACTGATCATGTTTATAATATTGATACAGTGTTATAATATTTCCCTGATTATATATCTATATATATATATATATATATATATATATTACGGTTTAAACAAACAAAACAGTACCAATGTAGTTACATAGAGATATAACTTGTACAAATCGATACAATAATATCCAACTCATAAAAATTTACATTCATTGACGTAGTAAGGTAAAAATATTTCAAATAAATGAACCATATGAAATAGGTAAAATGCGTTACCAACTGTAAGAACGAAAGAAACCAGCCTAAATGATATGGTCTCCAAAATATGAGGAAAATGGCGCATAACCACTGCTTACATATAAATATATAGCGATATATAAGGACCTGGCATGTTTCTTAGATGACAAATTAAGGTGTGCATTGTTCTTCTTAATATCAGCGCATTCCAATTACATGTTTTGTAAATGGAAATCAATCGATTATCTCATATCTATGTTAAAAAAAAAACGCCGTGACAGTTGACCAAATGATCTCGCGGTCGATTTTTCTCTACAGAATATTTACAACATAACGATAAGGTGGCCTATTATATACCTTGGTTGATATGCACCAGGTAATGCTTTCCTCGCCGAATCAACCAGCATTTACGACCACTTGTTTTGGATGATATCTGATTCTAGACCTTGGGTGATATGCATAAGGTAAGACTTGCCTCGCTGAATGAACCAGCGAAGCCTATAAGGCCACTTGTTTATAAAGCAAATGACACAGCCTTTTGGAAATTTAGTGTAAAAACAGGCTAATCAACCGGATACTATTGTTAGAGATCATGCTAAAAGGAAAACGAGGATATTGGCGGATCTCACAATCTAGACCACCCAGAATAACTAACTCAAAAAAATTGACAACTTAAATAGATACTTCTGTCAGAAATTGACAATTTGGCAATTCATACAGTGACAAATTCCACTTGATATCTGGGGTGGATATAAGTTTGTAATTATTGGAGTACAGAGAATAATCATGAATGATACAGACAAATATACTGACTTATATCCATCCCTGATATCAAGGGGAATTTGCTTATACAATGCATCACTAAAATTTCTGGGAAAAAGGTCAGTTCTTCATACCATTCCAGAATGTTCATCATTCGTCTTTATATTCTCTATTTCGTCAGGAGGCAAATCAAACCAAAAATTATTATTGCAGATATGTCTCGGCTACTCATCACTTTCCAACCTTGACAGAGACACAAATAATTTCCTCGTTATTGTGGGCGAATAATAATGTTTTACGCTAAAAACCCTTTTCACAAACGAAACGTTGCTAGCCACTCTCTTATCAACCACTATTTTCATGGTAATTATTCAAACAAATTGCACTAATTTGTTCTATCAATTCAAACGTTCACGTGTAGGATCCCTCATGCCACAGGCGCGAATCATCCATATTCCCTGCTAAATGAACTGGTAAAGACAAGGTTTTCCATCAGAACTGATTCATTTTCACATAAAGTCCCAAAATGTTGTTCCTCCAATCACTAGGATCTTAACATATGAATAATCCTATTCTAATAATACTCACATCTTACTTCCGACCTTTGCACACTTACAAACGCATCTTTCAATAAATATCTAAATTGAGTTGATGTTGGGTCTTGTATTGTGTGACATAAAACAGCGTGTTCAACTAAACGACACTACATTATTCGGAGTACTGTCCTCATCTTTGTCGCCATATTTATTACAACTTTCGGCCGTTGTACGCCCCGGCCTTCTTCAGGTTGTTGGAATGTCGGACTGAAACCTTTATTTCGCACACTGGGGTAGACTGTTCTAGTTCCACCTGCTATGTCTAATGGATGTCAGTTATCAGTTAACTTCTGTTAATTCCCTTCTCCAAGACCTCCACTGCCTTAACCGGGTATTGAAATCACATTCTTTCGGTCCTGTCACTGGATCTAACTAACGCCTTTATACATTGTGCCATGTGTCCTTGAGGAACTATGTGTGGTAATTTCTGGTTATTATAAACCTAATGTCGTCAGCAATTTTTTTTTAACAGTGCTCATATTGCAATTTTTGCTGTTATCATTTCATGTTTTTACCAGAGATCATATTGCAATTTTGCTGTTATTATCGCTTTTCTCTGGCACTCCTTATTACTGTTTCCCATACTGAATTCAACTAAACTAATTTACCTGACTGTATTCGGCCGAAATAAATCAAAGCGATAAGATTCAATAGAAATGAGAGTAACTTACATTCAATAATGCAATATTTAACCTCAAAAAATGCTGCGACAACTACAAACAGCAAGCCTGTAATCTTTCTTCGAAGAAACAGAAACTTAACACAGAAATAAACTTCATATAATATTGCCATCATTAATTATGTATCAGATTAAATGTTATTTTTAATGGATACTCGTATCTGAGTAGACGCTCCGCTTTTTATTAAACAGTATATTCTTTTACTTTCAACTACCGGCTAAATGTTCGTGAATTTTTATTAAGGACACATTTGTGCTCAGGGCACAGAGAGAGAGAGAGAGAGAAAGGGAGAGAGAGGGGGAGAGAGAGGGAGAGAGGGGGAGAGGGAGGGAGAGAGGGGAGAGAGAGGGAGGGAGAGAGGGGGAGAGAGGGGGAGAGGGGGGTCGAGGGGAGAGAGGGGGAGAGGAGGGAGAGAGAGGAGATAGAGGGAGAGAGGGAGAGAGAGTGAGGGGGAGAGAGAGAGTGAGAGAGATAGGGAGAAAGAGAGAGTGAGAGAGAGAGGGGGAGAGAGAGGGAGAGAGAGAGAGAGAGAGAGAGAGAGAGCGACCGTTTTCTCCGGCGTGTCTTACCGTTTCAACAAGAATGAAACAGACGGTTAGTTGTAGCCAATTTCATAATTTCAATCGAAATTTCGCTCGTCATACATCTCACGAATTTTTTCATATCTGCTCATAGTTTCGTATGCAAACGTAAACAGAGACAATTTTCAGAAGTGAATATTTGTAATTCGACAGCTTGATTTGCATCATTTTAAAAGTTATTTTTAGTGAATACTCTTATTGATTCAGGCGCTCCGCTTATTTAGTAAACAACGTAATTTTGATTGAGCAAAGAGTCCAGATTAAGTTTAGCTTTCTTGTCATATCTTCTATTATCAGAATGTGGAGTATTTCATAAGAAACGGAAAACATCAAAAAGAAAATGAGAATGATGGAAGCCTCTAGAATATATGCCCAACTACATGTTCATAGAAAATAAATAATGGTAAAGTTTAAATCTCAGAGACCCTTCTCATTCGCATGTAGAATTGCCTCAAATTAAACATAACATTAGTCCGATGAAGCCAGACAGATACATGATTTGGAATGAACTTCTTACGATAGATAGATAGATAGATAGATAATGATCTATTTCTCTAAGAAATTCATATGAGAGATAGATCATCAACAAAGAACTTCATATGAGAGATAGATAGATAGATAGATAGATACATAGATAGGTCGTTAGCTAGGCACTTCTTACGACAGATAGTTCATTAGCTAAGAATCGATCGATCGATCGATAGATAGATAGATAGATAGATAGATCGTTAGCTAGGCACTTCTTACGACAGATTGTTCATTAGCTAAGAATCGATAGATAGATAGATAGATAGATAGATCATTAACTAAGAACTTCATATGATAGATAGATAAATAGATCATGAGCTAAGAGTTTCTTCCTATAGATAGATGTATCATTAGCTAAGAACTTCATGTTAGGCAGATAGATCATTAGGTCAGAACGTCAGATTAGATTATATATATATATATATATATATATATATAGAGAGAGAGAGAGAGAGAGAGAGATCATACACTAAAAAAATTGCATTATATATATATATATATATATATATATATATATATATATATATATTATATAGATAGATAGATTTTGTGAATTGGTTCTGCATATATTTTTCAAATAAAATTAGTTAATATTTTGTTTTTAACATTTGACTTCCTCGGTATAAAAAATGTTACCTTTGTTTTAAGCATTGCAAAGACAATCGCCTCTCTTTTTAAGAGCCATATAATTCTCAGATAGTCATCGAGTATTTATAAAGTAAATTTACCACATCGCATCCTAAAGCTTGATATACTGTCAAAGATATTTACATTTGGTGGCATACGGAATCTCTGTTGCTCGGTCTTTTATTTTTAGGAGAAAAATCATGCTAAGCTATCTGATGAATTCTAACATTTTTATGCAAATTCTCTCATCGTTGATTTTTCGCCAAATCATTTGATTCACACGCGGACGCACACACATACAAACTGCGAAAAAAATTTTCTTGCAGGAGGACATGCCAATCACTATAAAATTTCCTTCAGATATCCAGAAAAGATTTTCCAATTTATTTTTCACAATACGACTCTGTAATCTTTATTCTTGACGCCCCGTATATGCTTAGGTTGAAAGAAAGGCACAACAAAATTACCCCGCTTCCGAAAATATATTTTCTCTGGTAAGAATTCTTTTTAATTCAATTTGGATGAAAGAAAAAATAAGGAAAATAATGTGCCTATAAAGAACTTGCCAGGAACTGATAACGGGTCTCTTCTGAGATGGTTTTACAAAAACTTTCTTCGCCGAGAAAAGCCTGGTACTCACTGCTGTCCAATAAAACAAGGCGTCACTACGACAAAATGCCAAAGAATATGCAGTTAAAGCGTGTGGCAGAATGAAAACAAGAGAAGGTTATATTTGGGTTAGCAGATTATAAATCAGACTGTCCAAGATCCAGAAATACGACTTCTGTGATATTGTTAAGTAGTTCAGCTTTGGCCGCAAATGAAGAAAGAGAAGAAAGAATGTAAGAGTAAACAGATGAATATGATTGGCGGAATAATAGTGAAAATATGGCTGCAACAAACGAAGACGGGAAAGCAATAATAACAGAATATTTTATAGATGCGAATGGGAAAGCTGAACGAAGGTAATGAAAAATAAAAGGTGAAATAGAAACAAGGTGAGTAAAAGAAAATGATAATAAGCAAATGTTGTCTCAGATTGGATACTAAAATAGACATGTACTCGGTAGGAAGGTGATCCACAGGAATTGTGAAATCTTCTATGAATTCGCTATTCAAACTAAAATATATACGCATAACCAAATCTATTGTTGAAGAGTAAAACTCTCTGGTTCGTTGAAAAAACAAATTCTTCATCCAATCCATGTTGGAACATCAAACAAGATTATCGCAAACAATGTTATTACATGCCACTGTTCAATGAAATAACATTTAAAACAGGATGTCATTCTGGAACTGGGAACATATAATCGGAATTACGATGTAATAGTAACTATTTGAAAGAAGAAAATTACAACTGTACTCAAACATATTGGAGCACTCAAACTAGTTCCTAAAAACTATACTAAACGTGCTGGCTGTTAAGGTAATTCAGGCAGAAAAGTGAGATAAATGTCCGTGGCATCAGGATACATATAGTCACCCAATTTTCAACAACTGGCAAAACAAATGTCACCACTATGCGACAGCTGCATGAGGGGGGAAATGGCTTATAACATACAATACCTCCAAATCAGAACGCGTAACGTTTCATCAATACAGAGCAGTCACTGAACAGTGAGGTTTCATGATTGCAATATCCATTGAAACTCAAGAACTGCTGTGCGCAGACACAATGTTGCTCGTCTTTCGCTATTCTGTCGCTATTATCATAGCAGATGTTCAGTTGAGCTGTATTCTTTAGGTATACCAGTGCTGACCTACATTCTAGGACACGTCAGTCCACATACAAAAGCTCTACTAATCACTATGTCAATCGTATCTCATTAGTAAGGAGAAAGTGGGGCCACTTCTTACCTCCAGAAGTGTTCCTTCGCGAAAAGACTCCCTAGAAGCCTCTTCCGTGGGCAGTGCAATATTAAAACAGTCAAGTCAAGGTTCAACAAAAAATCATCATATATGGTCATAATATGGACCACTTAAAAAAGGCTTATTTAGAAACACTTTAACATGAACGGCGCTCACGTCTTTTTTCGGAGGTACAATCGTATAACAAAAAATACACTCTTTAATTCAGTTGTCAATATTCAGATCAATATACATGAAAATTCCGGTGAAAATGAAAAAAAATCGAAAGAGATGTATGAAATATGAGAGATGCCACTGAGAAAGAAGAGGGATACGTGAAAAGATAACGCTAAATGAATTAAATTAAACGATACGAACGAAATGAGACGAATTGATACGAAATGAGACGAAATGGTACAAAAAGATACGAAATGTTACGAAATGAGACGAAATAATGCGAAATGATATTAAATGAGACGAAATAATGCGAACTGATACGAAATGATATGAGATGAGACGAAATGATATGATATGAAATGAGATGAAATAGAAGAAATGATACAAACGATACGAAATTATACGAAATGAGACGAAATAATGCGAAATGATACGAAATGAGACGAAAATTATTGTGGACGTGCAAAAATTATATGAACATTTCAGAGATGACATAGAAAAGACAGAAATCAGTCGGAGAACAAGAGGTGGGGGAACTGAAATGACAAACATGAAGAAGAATGCATAGGTAGGAATTAGAAGAGAGACAACAGTCAACAATAGAGAAAGGAAAGTGAGACGGGAGAAGAGGATTTTAGACGGAATGACATGAAAAATGAAAATAAAAAAAATGAATAAAGGAATCTTAATAATCTTCTTGTCATTCCATATTAGAAAAACATCAGTGAAATGAATATTGTTTTCATATCATTTGTTCACGTGACCTGAACATTATCCAGACTAGAAAATTGTTTTTTCTCTATTCGTCTAAATATTAGTTAAGAGACAGAAAACCAAGATCTCACCAACGATAAAATAAACGCCAATACTCATGTAAAATTTTGGTACAAGGCCGCGGCTCTGATGTACAGAAGATGCACATGATGCATGCGACAAACAGAAATAATTCTATTGTTAATTGAACGTCAATCTATTTGTTAATCATTGAAGGTTCGCTTAAAGAACATTATGGGACGAAATTATGAACAATGCCGGTGACTTGCCTATTTATATTTTCATGACATTTATTCTGATCTTGTTTCGTCTTTTTTACCTATAGGAAAAAGTTACGACTTCAAAGAGACTCAGTGGTATTATGATGGCTGGAATAAGAATGGTAAGTAAGGATGTGTTGTTTTAATGTAAGGAATACAACGATATGTATGGGTCAGTAATTGTGGTTAGCTAAGTTTAAGACAAGACAGATTAAAGACCGGCCTTACCGAAAACACCTTTTTGGCCTTTTGTCACATTTTTGAATTTTTCAAAATAAATTTTGTAACTTTTTTGTATTTTTTTCAAAATTAATATCGCTTTTCACGTATTGAATTTGAGTGATGTAACAGATTGATAGCTACTTTTCCTCATTTTACGGTTAAAATTTCCCACCCACCCGAAACCTAAGTTATATTCTGGTTTTTCATTCGCACTTCCCGCATGTGGAATTATATTTCAGTATTGTTTTTCTGACTACCTGTTATCTATAAAAATTAATTTAAACGTTTCTTAGTGTCTTGCAGACTCAGTAAACCGCTGTGTCCAAGGGTTTCATCGACTTCTTTGGGGTGAAATGATTAACATTATTTCTAGGACAGGTGATTAACATTAAGTTTACTGTAAAAAATGTGCCACATACAAACTTATTGAAAACTATCAGCAAATATGATGAGAAAATTCATTTCAGGTAATCGATATCAAATAATATTTTTAAGAATTAAAATTCTGCATCCAATAAGATGAACATTGAAAATATTGCTGAATAATAAAGTTATATAAATGTACACAAAACAAAGTTATATAAATGTAAAATATAAAGGTAAATTTATATTTATCAATGTTTACAAATAAAGTAGTGAATGAATTCTTAGGAACAAATTCGAATGCTAAAAGCCGTTTTCACTAAACCGATGATATTGAAATGATTTAATGAAAGATTATATTATTCTGTGGAAATATTTAAATAGATTAACAAGTCTTCCGCTGTGTTTTGCTTTAAAAGAACAGCTCTTGACAGCGTCATACAAAAAATATTTTTATAGATGAGAACTGAGATTAGTTAATAATTTTCACGTAACTGTTTAATTAAAAAACAAAGATCGGTGTTTGCACAAAACAGTGTAGTGAAGTACACATGAAAAGATTGGTTATTTTATTAAATCAGGAGAATATCAGCCGTTTTAATTAAAATATTTTAATAGAATGAAAGAAGGACTCATGCCAAAGTTGCAGATTTTAAGGAGGCGTATTAAAATCACAAATATTATCGTGAAATATTCAACTGAGAAAAATAAAATCCAATATTCGCTTAGTTGCATTTGTGTAACACAGTGGAGTCCGCGTCAACTGTATAGAAAAGACGGGAATGAATGAAATGTCAAAACTGCTGGAAAGATACCATTCCAAAAGACAACAGCGGGCTATCCACGTGATCTATACAAAGAAAGAACAAGAACAAATACACATCTATAAAGTAAAGCTGCAAGTGAACAACAAATATCATATTTTTGTACTACTCAGCTTAAGATGCATATAATTCTGAAAAAAAAAAACTACGTTAAATCTAAAAAGAACAGTCATCATATGATATGTTTAGCGTGACATAAATATTTCCTTGTTTGATTGGC